ACAAATGTCAAGACAGTTCTACTGTATGGGGCGGAAACTTAGAGAGTTGCGAAAGCCATCATCCAGAAGATACGGGTGTTTATTAACAGTTCTCTACGCAAAATACTTCAGATCCGTTGGCCGGACACTATTAGCAACAACCCACTGTTGGAGAGAACAAACCAGATCCCAGAGGAGGAAGAAATCAGGAAGAAGCGCTGGAAGTGGATAGTACACACATTGAGGAAAGCACCCAACTGCGCCACAAGACAAGCCATCACATGGAGTCCTGAAGGCCAAAGGAAAAGAGGAAGACCAAAGAACACATTACTCCGGGAAATGGAAATAGACATGAGAAAAATGAACAAGAATTGGGTGGAACTAGAAAAGAAGGCCCAGGACAGAGTGGGTTGGAGAATGCTGGTCGGCGGCCTATGCTCCATTAGGAGTAACAGGCGTAAGTAAATAAGTAAATAAAAATGCACGAACAGAAAATCTTGACTTGTCGACATTGAGTAAACCGCAGACTCATGGTTTAATCGATTTCCTAGGTTTATGAGAATCATGAATGTTTGAAGTAATTATTGTTTCATGTTTCAACTCATGAAGATAATTAGTCAGTAGTTTCTTTGCTTACGTATTCATATCCTGTGACAATATGATTTTGAAATTTAGTCAGTTCATCTAAAACTGAGTTCAGTTTATCGACGTAATCGGTTTTGTTGGTTGGAACTAGTCCTCCCACATGAATAATAAATATATATATTAAGTAGGAAAATTGTATTCCTGACGTTTCACGGCATAATGCAAGCCACTACTTTCGAGAAAACAAATAACCGAAATAAATTAATATAAACCAAAATAGTACAAATGAAACAATGTAGAATACTTTTAGTACAATCTAAAACATACTTGGTCTGAATATGTCTGTGTGAAGTTATTCTTGGTTAAGGTGAATTCGTATGACCTGCCACTGCATTAATTTCTGTTGCAGAATACCGGTAAGAAAAATGTATGCATTTGTAATATGACGTAGTAGGGTTGAAATTATGTGTGTGTGTTTATGTAGATTGTGTGGAAAATAAATAAGATCATATGTGGTTGTTTAGATAAACGGTTCAGGTTGCATGAATATTCAACCCTTCTTTCCTATCGTGGACATAGGAATTTAGCAGTACGTGAATCTCTTCGGCTACTCGCCTCTCTTTATAGTTGGAAAAACATTTCTGAAATATTTTAATTTTTTTAATATCAATTTGGTGATTATTGAATGTAGCATATACTGATATTGTGGATTTACCCTGTAAATTTTCCGATTTCACGGAACTGTTAGGTCATTTTGTGTAACTTAAACGTTCCTCAGCATGGATCGAGATCTTCGCGGTAATGCAAAAATACAGTACCAATCCAAGATCTTTCTTTAGGATTATTATCTACAGAGGGACAGTTTTGTTTTAATATGTTTTAAATAATATATTTAGGGAAATTATTAAGTCGTAAGTTGTCTATCATATTCTCTTTTTCTTTATATGTCTCTTTCTGAAATAATGATCATGTTTGCTCTTCTGAAAAACTTGAGGGCTAGGTAAATTTTCGCACTGAATGGATGTGCATATTTAAAATCGATATACCGATTTAAATGTGTCGGTTCTCGGTACATGGTTAGATTAAGATAACCATTAGAGTTCATTATAACTAAAGAGTTTGAGAAAGGTAGTTCACTATGTTCATCTTCCTATTCAAAAGTAGATCGTCCGGAACCTGAGACCTCTACACAACTTATTCTTTAACAGAAACGATAAATAATTTCATATTTATAAAGCAAATATTAATATACTTGTTATATGTTAGTGTGTTGGTAATAGCTCACCATTGGATGACGAGAACTATACCTTAATTCAACCAATCCATGATATTGCCTAACCGTCTTCCATTGTCTTCGGTGAGTAACTGCCCCACACCTAACATAGTTGAACTCCATTATGAATACGATTGTACAGATTGAGTAAATGATATTATCAAAACATAAATTTTCTTTGCTGAATTGTTTAAATTTCTATTGAGATTATTATATAATATGAAATCAGTCAATCAGTTTTTGAATTTTGTGCAAAAAGCGATGTCTGTTCTTCCCATTCTTATTTGATCATCTCTGATACTATGTTTGTAACTAAAGGTGGATGAGAACCTACTCGACGCTTACAAATCTATATATAATACTTCAACTTATTATTTATTCATTATATAATATTAAACTAACATATAAATTAATGGATCTAATGCCTTATAAGATATGTATAGACAATTTCTTTGAATCACATAATTCAAAGTTCCTTTGTTAACTAATACAACCAATAGTGTTATCACCGTTTAAACTGATCAAAATTATTCAGTTTTATAATGATGAGAATCTTTATATTTAATTGGATTTTGAATGTAACACTTGTAACCTTTCTGTTAGGCATCTAAATTTTAGATTTCAAATCAACAATTATTTCTATAACAAAGGTGTTAGATATGGAGCTTAGATTCTTGATACACCGCGTACCACCTGAGCACTCTAGTGCTAGAATTCTCCAAATTTCAAATGAGAAAGTAGAAGACAAGTGAGAAGGAATGTTATTCCAAACAGTGTCATTATGGTACAAAACTCTCAGGTACTTATAGTTTTTAGTTAAATCAAAATCATCGTCATGGTTATCCAATAGCGAAGCTACACGTCGAAATTCTGGAATGTTTTTCCGAAAGATGATTGGTTGGAAAATCTTCGTCTCTTTATGGGCTTCTTAGAGATTCCTCGAGTTCATCACAAAAAGCAACCCATGGTCTAATTGAAAAGGAATTAAGACATTTTATTTCTATTTCAAGATGATTTTACCTCTTTTAATAGATTTAGTGGGATGATTACAATAGACTTACTTTGTACTAATAAAGTATTCTGAAATTTATCTGTATATGCATGTGAAAATATTCTGTTATGTTTTCATTTTTTTAATTTACAAACAAAAGACAGTCCTCAAAGATAGAATTTAGAAATAAATGTTGGGTATTTTACCAGTGATTTCCAAAGATTATCGAAGTCGAATGGCGAAAAATCGTGTTGTTTCTGATGATGTTAGGCCTAGGATACTTGAAGAATATTTAACTGGTTAACGAAACTTCAAGCTACCACCGAGTTGAACAATCGGACGAAATATTATCAACACCCAGATATCAGTTGTTTCAGTTTAACAATGTGGTTAGCATAGAAGTGCATCGAGAAAAAGTAGGAAATTGGCTGTCAACGTGATAAAACCATTTAATTATAAAATTAGCTGTAATGGGAAACGAATACATGTTAGTTCACAAGAAAATTATAGACTGTAACTGCCTCAAAGGATCTGAATTCGGATCGACTGGCGCAGTTTCATAAAATTTAAGAACATTGTTGATTTATGTACTCCAATCAGTTGAACCGGGACCTATTATTATCGATAACGGATTTGAAAACATTTACTTATGCAAGCATTTTAATTAATTTTTCGATTTAGACCTATTTCGCAAACGTATTCCCTGACCGATATATATATATATATATATATATATATATATAATCAGTTGATATACGTATGCATCATCCATTCTGTGACTCGTTAACTGATCATATTTATTGTTTACACTAAGCGAATCAGACTCTTCACTTACCCTAAACACGTTGATAGAATCATATTAAAAATGTATCATTACAACCCAAACTCCACTTTCACCACAATTCAGTGAATGAAATGGACAATGAAAACACTAAATAGATTTCATGCTACGATTCGGATTAATCAGTGTTCAAAGTAAATTACTATACATGAGTCACTTTTACCTAACCACTCATACTGTAGTGTATGCTACTTATGTCGACAGATATAACGAGTATGTAACAACAATCAAAAGTTGAATGGCCGGCAGCAGAAAGGGAAATAGAAAGGAATTATGAATTGGAATAATCAGATAGAATGTAAAGGACAATTGAAGCATTTAATGTATGGTTCCATAATTTACCAAAATAATCTGTAACTTTGTATGAAATAATGAATAGGTTGTCCCCACCCAAGTCTTCGCTCATTACAATCAGTCATATCATAGAAATTAACAAATCTCTACAGTGTTCTCATTTTCCTCATTATCAGAATGAAATGCATCCTTTCAAGTATGAAGGCAGAGAAAATCAAAATTCACTGAAGCTTTTGAGAATATCTTTTCTCACCTCTTTTCAACTCACCAAACACTGCAGATTGAGCGGTTCATAACACTTAAATTTTCGAAAACAAGTAGTCAATTCGACATATTTATGTTTTATTTATTTCTTGACCCGAATTAATATGCAGTGATTATGTAACTGCGTGTACATAATCGCATCTTAACAACAACTGTCAATTTCTTTTCAATTGCGGATTAGATTCAACAACTTGACGCCAAAATTAATTTTCGTGTGATTTCATGCTGTAGTTTATTTTGAAAATTCTTGTCTATTCGGGTTTGTACGAAGACAAAACAAACTTTTTTTATGTTTTACTTATAATCCAGAACTCTGTTGAAAGGGATACCGGAAAACCTTTAGTGTTGTTTCAATGCAGATAAAAAATTTATTAGAAAATACCACTTAAACATCTACGTCTTAGACAAATGATTTTCATAATGATGTTGATTAATATTGAGTGGTTTGTAATATGACGATACGCTAAGAGTTGTATTCTCTTTCAAAGTATATAAAAGTTTGACATTCAATTAATGTCTATGTTGCCAGAAAGCGTATGATATTTAGGTATATTTCATTAATTTCGAGGAAAAGACTCACCATAGAATGACAAACACTGTTCAACAGACATTTAAACATCAGCTCACATCATGCCACTAACAATATCAATATAAGCACAGCTGAATAGAAAATCTATAGAATTCGATTAATTTAGTTTAGCCGATTGGAGTTAAAAAGATTGTTCTATCTTATCTTATTTTCCCAGACTACTCATTTTCTAATTAAGTAATATCTTTTAGAAATCTATTATTTTCATGTGAAGCACATCTTGGTCACTTATAAACTTAACAATCAATATCATTTATCACTTCTGTGTGATACAAATTCGTACTGAAATAGATGATTATTAAACATTTGAGAGTAAAATTATGGGATCAAATTTGTTTACAGATTAAATTACGAAACGAATGTATGTTAGATGTAATGTACAAAAAATCACTTTGATTTGAAAATGGACTGTATGAAACGAGCTATAGTATCATTTTTTGAATTGAACACTTCGTTTGTAAGTACATTTCTGTAATATTTCAACTCCTTGAAATGCCCATCACATCACAACAGCAATAAAGAAGATTGGATATTTTTTAGGAGAAGGTTATTACAATAAAACTTATCACAGTTAATGAATGAAAATATTCATCAGATGGTAGTACTTTTTTTTATCAAAAAAAGGTTTTACTATGATGGCGATATAAAAAAAATGAATCATATCAATTAGTCACTTTAAAATTATAACTCTGCTCTAATATTTTGTTTTAATTTATAACAGTCAGTATTGGATAATGTATATCCAGTATAACAAAGTTTAGGAGAATGTGGCGCAGCTTCAGTATGAACAGAATTTGGTAATTCCTGAACGGATAAATTATCATTCGTTTGAGTGGAAGTAGGATGTTCGATTATATTCTCATGAAATGATAATTCTTCATCATCCTCTATATGCTTGTGAAATAAACTGGACACAGTACAATCAAGTAACGGGGAAGGTATTGTTTTCGACGGCTGAATATGACTTTCTAAGTTGGTTTCATGAGACGTTGCGGTTTGTTTAGGGGAACTAATGGTTGAATATGATACTGATGGAGATCGCAGGAACTCCTGAGAGTAAATGAAAGAAATATAGTTAGTATAATTAACATAAAACATACAAAAAACGTACGAATTATAACACTAAGTAGGATCCAAAAATGAAAATAGGCCGTAACCTTCATTCATCTTCACTAAAAGATAATTTTTAATTCTTGATACTCTTCAATTCCGAATTCTATCTTGAGTTGATAAATAGTCAAATTGAATACGTCACTATACAACTAATAGAATTTATTTATTTAGTTTTGATAAAGAATACATTTTTATAATCGGAGATGATGGTGGCCAGTAGTGAAATTCGGGACCTGTGTTTCATCGTATTTGGGACTTGTCAGCTGGAGGTACCTGCATGTGAGTTGATGTTCACTCAATGACTCGAACGCAATTCCACTTGCTTCAAAAGTCATCGCGTTATCCACCTAGCTACTGAGTCCAGATAGCAACTAGCTTGTGTAATGGGGTGAAGTGAACGGTAATTAGTTCGAGTCCCAGAGTGAACATTGACTCGGATGCAGGTACATCTAGCTGACGAGTCCATAATGGGAGGAAACGTGCGTCCCATATTTCACTGCTACCCACCATCATCTATGTTTATAATGCTTGTGACTGACGTACATATTTCAATAAGAAACTGATCAACTGCAGTCCTAAACATCAATGCAAAAATTAAAGCAACCAATGCAAAATGAACAACAACCTAAGATTTTTTGGTAAACACTATCATTAAATGATTCAGTCAGAGCACGGTTATCTACATATCCAGGTTCCGTGAAATTGCCGTGTGACTCAAACATCTAATATCATATCTGCTAGGGTTGAAGCTATCACAAGTTCACTTAATCTGCGAACGAGAAACAAGACTCGGTGATCAAAGACCAGTAACCTAGCTACTGATGCGTCCCAGCCACGCTAACTAGAGTGAGAAGTCCAAGCTTGGAATGGGGAGGTATATCCTGCAAATAGCCAGAAACGAGCGATAACAACAAACACAATCCAAAACGTTTATATACAGTACAAAATCGTCTCTGGGGAGAGTTACCAAATAGCATACTAAAAGACGCAACGGACCAATAGCATTTATTATATTTCCCAGTGGGAAATACGACATGAAGGTGACAAAAGCGCTATCGGCGCGAAAACAAAAAACTTCAAATTTTCTAAATAAAATTACAAAATTAGATCCTTTCCCAATTGAGTTCTGGGGATCTAACGTCCCCAACAATATCTGAGTTACTTTTTCACTTTCTAATATATTAACACCATAATCCGTTACTT